CACCTATTCAGTTGGGTCTGTTAGAAAGAGCTAGCCTCAATCACTGGACTGGGTCCAGTTTCCAAAACATCGTGTTTTTATTTGTTATCTTAAAAAACCAGGACGATGGATAAAGTCCAAAAACCCAATATATCAGTATGTTATTCTTGTCCAGTACTGAAGTGAAAGATGAATATCAGATTTCTGGTATTCTGTAAGATATTAATTTTGCCATTTAATCCTGTCCAGTACTGTAATTGAAGGAATATCAGATTTCCGATATTCTGTAAGATATTAATTTTGCCACATAATCCTGTCCAGCATTGTAGTGGAAGATGAATCTCAGATTTCCAGTATTCTGTAAGGTATGTTGCTCTTTCTCATATAGATTTCAGTATTCATTGTAATTCTGTAAGATATATTGTAATTTTGCCATATAATCCTGTCCAGTACAGGACGTCATTCTAATGAAATTAATAATAAATGGAAACATCAGTACTGCTGCTTGCCATATATGATTTGTAATGCTTTAATGTAACCAAAAAAACTATGTTCTGTGTGGCTTTCAAGTGTAAGTTGTTACCAAAGGTGTGAGGTTAAATAGAAGTATGTCTGATGGAAACAGAATTTTCCTTAAAGTTCCCCACCTTCACCTTTCCTAAACACAAGTATTCAATGTTTTGTATGCTGCAGTTCACAATGTCCAATGCATTTGGGTAAGGAGATGTTATGACTTTACAGGCACTGGTGAGAAACTTTCTGATTTTGCAACCCTGACCCCTTGTGCTGCAGGCGTTCTTACTCCTTGTGTTTCTTTTTTTTTTTTAACTGGGTCCAATATCGCTTCACTGATATCCTTTGGAATGGATATGAGTGAAGTGATATTGAACCCCATTCAGAAAAAGTAAAAAAGAACAACGGAGTAAGAATCTCTGCAGCACAAGAGGTATGTTTGCAAAATTATTTATTGCTATTCATGTGAACTAGTGGTTTTTGGGGGGGGGGGAAGGGGAGAACTTATAGGATGGTATAGTAGCATACTATTTTATTGGTCATGTTGTTTGTGGCCATTTCTCATTTAGTTAGGGGGCGTCTGCGTAGAGATGGCAGGAGTAATGTCAGAGGACGTCACCGCGACCATGTTGCCCAAAATTAATGAACAGTTTCCGTGGGTTGGCCGCTCCTGCTGATGCTTGAGTCATGTTTATTGCCTGGGTTCGTCACGCTCGTGCGTTGTTATCGCATTGCAGTACGACGAGAAATTAGGGACATGCCTGTCTTTGTTTTGCCGCGTTATTTGATGTAAAAGCCAGATGGGAGACCTCCATGGTCGATCGTAGTTCGTAGGTATCACAGATCCGTGGTACCGCCTTTATGATCTCTGGCCGGTTCATGTGAGGGATAAAAGTAATTCTGCTTTATTGGTAGTCACGAACGGTGGCGAAAATGGTGATACTTTTTGCGATAGCGTGCGTTGTGTTTGTAAAGTAAATTGTAGATTACTGTGGCAACCTGTTCAACCTTATTGACATTTGATATTTATAATGCAAGAGAAGTAAGTCTGAATCGTGTTGTATGAATAAAAGTGTACGTTGTGGTGTATTAGCATGCATTTTTCAGTTTAGTTGAAAGCCGACGCTTGCTTTGATCCATCAAGGTCTTTAATTGCATCGGCGCCTGGATTTTTTTGTTGTTGCAGAGTAGGCCCCGTAGAATTTATCATTAACAAAGGCGCAAGCCTTTCAGAAGTTTTAAACGACATTGATTTTCTGGGATACACAGAAATAGAGATGCTTTTACGACCGTGAATTAAAACTGAGGTGGTTTAGTGTAATTGGCATAATATTTGATTTCTTCCCCATCCGTTTTGTCATACTTTTGAAACGTTTTGTTTATTCAAGAAAACATAGGCAAACAATTCTAACGTATTAAAATCACGTAGTCTGTCATTGGTGTTGTTTTGTTCTTAAAATCTTGTTATGATGTGGCTGATGTTAAGATCAGAATTGTTTTGTGGTAATCTGAATATTGGGTGATTCTGAACATTCACAAAAGCAGCATTAACCATTCTGTATTTACACATTTCACTTCAGTGTATAATATATAAAATTTGCACTGTTTAGTCTTGGTGTCTTCCCCTCAAGTTTAAAATATTCTCAAATAAATCCTATTTTTAAAGAAGGTGATAGAACTGATATAGCAAATTATAGGCCGATATCTTTACTGACATCTTTCTCTAAGATTTTTGAAAGAATCATTTCAACATCATCTAGACACTAATAATATATTGGCACATGAACTACATGGTTTTTGAACTAAATTGTCCGCTGAATCAGCCATTTATGACTTAATAAATACTAGTCTAACAGCAACAAATAATAAACTTGTTGTGGGAGGCCTGTTCTGCGACCTGACCAAAGCATTTGATTGTGTAAATCACACAATACTTCTTGCTAAGCTAGAGTTTATGGTTTTAATGGTATAGCAGGAAAGTTATTTAAAACTTATTTGAGGGATAGACAGCAAAGAACAGTACTAAGTAGCAATATTACAAATCATATTTTGAAGTGGCAAAGTGTATAATAGGGTGTCCCTCAGGGCTCCGTTCTGGGGCCATTGCTCTTTTTGATATATAAAAATGATTTGCCAAATATAATAAATAAAGAATCAAAATCAATTTTATTTGCTGATGACACCAGCATACTGTGCTGCAAGTCAAATCTTAAAGAACTTGAAATCGCCCTAAAAGAAACTCTTGAATCAATCAATAAATAGTTCTCTATAAACTCGCTAATTTTGAATCTAAATAAAACGAGTTGTGTCCAGTTTTTAACAAATCCAAATGCACTAATAAGCTTAAANGTTCATTCTATAATGTCATATGGCATAATATTCTGGGGAAATTCAACATATAGTACCCAAATATTTAAAATTCAAAAAAGAATAATTAGGGTAATAATGAAAGCAGGAAATAGTGACACTTGTCGGCCTCTATTTAAAAAATTAAACATTCTTCCATTTTATTCACAGTATATATTTTCAATATCGGCCTTCATAGTTAAAAACATGGGCAAGTATGTAGCAAATTCAGATATTCATAACATTTATATGAGATAAAGATTCGAACTACATTATCCAACTTATAAATTATAAAAAATTTATCACAAGATGTAAATAAATTCAAATATTCCCTTAAAAATTGTTTGCAGGTGGGCTCTTTTTATTCTTTAGATGAGTATTATGAATGGAAAACAAGGGATGATTGTCTTAATTACAGCTAAATAAAACAACAGTAGTCATTTTTAAAACTTATATTGTAGGATACCTATAATTCTTTAGATATGCTTTTTCTCTATTATAGACAATGTTAATATGTATTTTATTATGATAATAAGTTGCAATGCAAGTGTTATATGCATGTTGTATTTAATTATAACATTGTATCAATAGTTATTGCAACAGTGGTTATAAATATGTTGTAATATCTTTATGATTATGTCCTCTCGATTAATCTTATAGTAACTTGGGCTTTGACGTGTTCTATATCTGGAGGCGCCATCGCCAAATCTAGGTCTGATGAACAAAAATAAATTGAATTGAATTGCAGTCTTTTGTGTATGCTGGTGGAAAATGTATGTGTAATGAGTAGGAGTTTGGTAATCTAAAAAGGGGAGTAATTGTTGATGGTGGTATTGTTATTAAGAAGTTTTTAAAGTTTCATCAAATTAATTATCTTTAATTATTAATTTATTAGAATCTTATGGAAGAAACATAATTATGTTATACATCAGTGAGGAGAATTATGCACAGGGGAATATAAATTAGTTTTAATTTGTAGATATAGGCTTTTTCATCTTCCCACGATCTGGGATTTGTAACAGGCCTGTTGCTCTCCATTTCTAAGTGGCATGGTGATGAATTGCAAATCTCGCTTTCTTCCTCACCATAGGAAGCACCATTGGTAGCAACAGCTAACCATAGTTTGTCTAAATGGGCACTGAAATAGCTTTTACTTACATGGAGATTAAAATTAAAATATTCTGAATATTGACATCATATGGAGCATGGTATGTGGAAGTTCTAGGAATGGAGGACGTCCTTCATATCAGTAACTTATTTTCCTTGAAGATGGAGATAACAGGTTCCTCCATGGTATTGTTACGCCTCTATAAAACTGCATGGTGTCACATCTAAGGACACTCTTGGCTAGAGGCACAGCTTCAAGTAGTAGAACAAGTCTCAGAAAACCACAGTATTGTTGAACAGTCAGCCTGTTAGGTAGCAGATAGGCACCAATAACAGTGTTCCCAACAATTCCAGGTTAAACACTGATGCAGCGGAAGTGGTCTTGGTACCCATGTTTATGAATAGCTTGAAGATCACCCTGTGTCCATAGGTCGTTGTTGACAGTGAACACACAGTCACATGTAAAACATGCTAATCAGTCCACAATGTAATGCAAATAGAGCTCACCTGCAGTGTGTTGATGATGTAGCTGTTTGCAAAATTGCATTATCTGGAAACAGATGGGCACACCACATGTAGTGCTATGGATGTAACTGAACATCACGGATATTAGTAGTAATTTGATTTTTACAGTAGTTTAACTGTTAAAATGATAGGGTACTGGTCGGGTGTTCAGAAAGCTTCCAGTGATACCACTCAGAAGAGCCTGAGAGCAATGTTACTATCCCAAAAATACACAGGAGGTACACAGCTTTAACCTCAAATAAATATCTTAAAAAGTGAGGTAACATATACAGGGTTTGTTCCATCTGTAACAGCAAATCATAAATGTGTTACTTCAGCTTTTGGGGTTGCTACTTTGTGTAGTGAAATTAGTCCAGTATTTTGGTGGACATTGTAGGCACTGACTTTATGGTGAATGAGAAGGATTTGGCTTGATCTGTCCTGCAGTGGAAATAGCAGTGGGGGATGTGGAGCATGGTTCTGACCAATGGGAATGGACCAAAGTTCAGCAGTGGGAGTAGGAGTGAGAGTGAAGAGTGTTATGCTATCCAATGGAAGGGGATCACTGAGTTTCAGTCCACACATCCCCAGTATTGAAGTTATTTCTGAAGTTTTTTAACATTGCTGTCTGTACCAAGACTTCAGTGCATTGATAGTAGGATGATTAATGCTGTTTCTCATTATTTTGTATATTTCCCAAGTATGTCATGTTGCGAGCCAACTTTAGTGGAAAGAGGGTGTCGCATGGTCAGTGCAACGAATCCCCATGGCTGTTAATTTCGGTTTTCTAAACCTCAGCTGCTATTTTCTTGAAATAGCTCTTAAATTATCCTCATGAGGTTGGTGGACCCTGTTCCAGACCCACTACTTCTTAGAAAATCTGGCAGTGCCAGGAATCGTCCCCAGACCTCTGGATCTGTAGCCAGGAAGTCTGACCACTAGACCACAGAGGCTGGCTCTAACTTTGCCGACAAGAGGTGGTTGCTTGGTTGGTATAGTTAGCTTGCAGACTAAAGGCACAGAGTTTTTTTTGTCACATAGCAAGTGATGCTGTCTTCCACTTAAAAGAGATGTCTCTTTTATATTTCTTAAAACTGAACCTCATGGCCTTCACTCTTTTCTGAAAAAAAAAAAAAACATACTTGTCATCCCTGAAACTAATTTTCATCTTGTAGGTGGAGGTCAGGTCTGAGGAAAGTGGGAATTTATGTATTTAGCCCATAGTATTCTAAAACTTTAATATGCATAATGCAGTTTTCAGAACCGGTGAATAAATTTTATTTCTCACTATCAAAAAAGTATGGCGTTGAAACATGCTCCATGCTTTAACAGCATTTTCAAAGTCTATTTATTTCACCATTCTATTCATTTTTTTCCAGTTGATTTTACTTCCCTTGCAATTTCTCTTTCCACAAGAATATTAATCCCTGTGTTATTTTTGTCATTGCAGAACTGAAGTACATTATAAGTAATCATTTTCACTCCTGACTGAGCTAACCTTCACAATGTTTTCATTTTCTGTGAGGTTTCCATTACATGAAGCGTTTGCTTCTAGGTATTTCTTTTCACACTTCATCAGGATATTTAATTTGTTTGTATATTTAAAAATTGCATCCCGATCTGTTGGTTTCATAAAATTATGTGGTCTTCGACAGGGTATTTGATCACATCACTGAACTTCTTCAGGGAATGTGTCCATTCATGGAGGAAAATTAAAAGGTTTGCCTGTTCACAGGGCTTGGTTCAGTCATTGTTTGGTAGCTGACACAAACATAAACTAGTGTATGGGAGTAACTGATTATGTCACTTGAGATATAACAACATGTTTTTTCTTCTCATTCTCATTTTATTTTCTCATATACGTAGGTAAGTCAATAAGTAAGTTACAAATGGATAAAGAACTTGAACAAATAAGAGTACTGATTTAAAAAATACCTTTATTTCTCAACATAATCTCCCTGTACATTGAGGCACTTGTCGCATCGTTTCACAAGCCCCAGGAAACCAGCAGCATAAAATTCTTTGGGCTGCTTTCGGAACCAGGAGGTGACTTCCATTTCTACAGCTTCATCGTCAGGAAAATATTCAGCTGAAAGATGATGTTCAAGATGGCCAAACAAATGGAAGCCACTTGGAGCAAGGTTGGAGCTATACGGAGGATGCTTGAGGACTTCCCACTTAAAATTTCATAGTGTCATTTGTCTTGTTGGCAGTATGGTGACGAAATTTCAAGTGGGAAGTCCTCGAACATCCTCTGTATAGCCCTGACCTTCCTCCATTCGACTTCCATTTGTTCTGCCCTCTTAAACAGCATCTTTCGGCTGAATATTTTCCCGATGATGAAGCTGTAGAAAGGGAAATCACCGCCTGGTTCTGACAGCAGCCCAAAGAATTTTATGCTGCTGGTTTTCAGGGACTTGTGAAATGATGAGACAAGTGCCTCAGTGTACTGGGAGATTATGTTGAGAAATAGAAAGCATTTTTCAAATCAGTACTCTTATTTGTTTAAGTTCTATAACCACTTGTAACCTACTTATTGACTTACCCTCATATATTCATTATGTTATGATGGACCTTGTCACATGCTATCCCATCAGAAAAGTTCAAATGTTCTTGTATATGTCATCAGATTTCCATAAATACAGTTGAGATCTGCAAGCTTCTTATGTAAAATGCATGTACTAATAGACTAGCATTATTCTCCATACACACATTTAATACTTACGATTGGTCTCTGTTAACTCGCCCATAGTCAGTAAAAGTATTTTTGGAGCCCTGTATATCAATATATGAATCTAGTAGAGTTCACTAATGTTGCCTGTCTTATCATTTCAGGCTCACTTAGCATGTGTATTTGTTAGGGTTACCTCCTTCATTTAGAAGTTAGCAGCAATGAGTATTATTTTTATGTGTGATATGTGTCATATTTTAAGACATTACAGAGGTTAAGATATAAATTTTCTGTTTTATTCAGATCAGAAGTCCAATATTTGACATGAATGAGGCCACGAAGAGGTATTTTTGCCAGACTTCTGTCTAGGTAAGTGTACATCTTTGATACAGTCAGTACCTTGTGGACAAGCAATAACATATGTAATTTTCCTAGGAGGAGTCAGCCGGGCAGAGGTGAGTAAATTGGAGCATTCTTTTATGATGTTAATGAAATGCAAACTCACACATGACAATGATAAATAAAATATGCTAAGCTAGTTATGTTTTTATGGCCACAGTGTTTAGCACACTGTGAACGTGTTCATAAAACATGAAGTCTGAAGGTAGTTATTTTAATGTCTTCTCTGTCTTGCAGAGAGAATGGAAATTATTTATTATTTTCTATGTAAGTAAGTATGCTCTATTGAGCTTCTGAACGTGAATTCATTGACAATTTTGAAACGTCTAATAATAATATTTTCTTGAGGTACATATGTTGTATTTCTCTCATAAACATTTTTTTTTTGTCTTGCAGTTTGACGAAACAGGATTTGTTAATGTGTGATAATCTCTGTTACGATTTCATTGTTTCCGTTTATTGAAACATGTCATTTGTCCCATACAGTTTGATGTTCTACATCATTGAAAACTGCACGATACTTAAAAAATTATTAGAATAATTAAATTTTGATAAAGTTCTTGAGTTATGGTCTGTGGGTTATGACACCAGTGTTTGGGAGGAACTTCTGGATAGAAGATGAAAGCAGACGTTCCATTTAGACATTGGTACCGTACTGTCAGGCCATGTGTCAAAAACCAGAAGATCGCAGTATGTATCTACCACCGTAAACCCTTCGGTCAGATCTTATATTTCTGTATTGATACATTAATTATATCAAATATATGACTGCTCGCATTTACATGATTTCAGTTAATGTGATTCTGAAGTAGATTTATTGTTCAATACTGTGCAATCATCGGTTTGTGAACTTCATTAGTGGAAAAGGAAAACAGTTGCCATTTCAAAACTGATTGAAATTTTATTTGGATGATGGACAAGTCTAACTCTGCGTTTTCTGTATTATAACAGTAACAGTTTGTTGTTAAAAATATACTATTCACATTCACATTTATATGAGTGTGTACTTACAGTATTGTGTTTTATAGACAGACTGTTTCATTCCAGTCAACTAACCAACTTTTGACAAAGGAAATGTAAACAATTATTAAGGTCACGAAGTGTAATCATCGCAGCCTATTCAACTCTTAGTAATCACTTTTGATGTATCTGCTCCAACAGTTCAGTATATTGAAGTCTTTCTCAAAGAACCAAATTGCCTGACTCTCTTGCTGTTGGTTTGTTAGCTGGAAATTTAGCCCTTACCTTCCAAGAATATGGAGTCTGGATTGGTAGTTAATATGCTGCACATTACAAACACACACATGTTTCTTGAAGTAAGTTAATTGTATTGAATAGCTCACCATCACAGCAGATGTCCAAATTGTCGTCCTTGTGCTCTTAAACAAATTTCATTACTCTTTAAAAGATTGTTCAGCACTAGTTTTAGATCTCTTACCATGATAGGTGTATTTCACAAATGTGCTTAAGTTCATCCAATTCTGTTTTGATTATTTGAGTATATATTTTTTGGGGTGAGGGGGACCCCATGAGTAAAAATCACAGGGATTTAAGTGAGGAGCTTATGCAGACCACAATCTGTAACTTATAACTCTGTCTTTACACACTTTACTTGGAGCATTAATGGAGTAATTAGCAGTGTTTGCTGCAGCATCAGCTGGCATAAATTGATTAGTGTGTCTTCTTTTGTTACTTCTCTCTTTTTGTTATTAAATGACACTCAGTATTGTGAGTATGTAGTGTCAGTGATAGGGTGATTAATGAATGTGGAGCGGCTGATGGAATGGAATTTTTTTTTGTGTGGGGGAAGGGGAAACTGAGGTACTTGGAGACAACTTGCACCAGTGCCATTTTGTGCACCACACATCCTACATGACCTTACATGTGGTATTCTGTAATGCTCCAAAATATGGGATGAAGAATGTCATTGACATAATTCTCTGAATTAATTGTCTTTTAAAAATGTGTAGGCTTACTGTTCACTTAGCAGTCACGGTACACCACACAATAGTATTCTGATTTTGAAGAGGGATACTTCAGAGATCTGTCTATGATTAATACTGATCCAATACATGTTGTTCTGAGCATCTATATACACACTTGGCTGGAACCACACTTTGCCAGTAAAATGTAATTTTGGAGTTAAGAACACTATCATGTACCACCCACAAGAACCAGTATCAAAAATCCCTTTGTTTGTTATAAGTGCCCTCTTTAATTGCTTGAACTTAATTTTATATGGCAGCAGATGTAACTTTTAGGTTATTCCCTATGCAGTTGTCTTCAGAACCTGTGGCTGTTTAGCTAAGCATGTCAGGGAATCGTGGTGAATGTTCTAATCTGGCTCCAGTTTTGTCAGGCTTTCCCTCAGCACAATATCACATATACTGTATTTCTTTTGAGAAAATACCCAGTTGAATACGTTTTCTCCACCAGTTTGAAAATAACTGTTGAAGCTGGAATCTGAGCACCAGAATACATCTGGCAGAAACCTGATTTTACGCTGTCTGTATTGGATTCCAGATGAGGTCATTGGATTTTTCAATTGACCTAATCCTTCCAGCTGCACTATAGCCCATGTAGTCGGTTCAACATGTAACAGACATGAGTACCATGAATCTTCCTGGGAGTAAAGGCTGGCTGGTGCTTAAGGCCTCACGGCCATCTGTTAGCAGATTATCTGAAAAATGTGGGAGCCTTGTCGTCTCAGAACCCTATGGGCCCCGATGGCCTCATGTAGAGATGGCCCTTATCATTATATATATATATATATCATACAGAAAGAGCCTGCTTTTTGAGTGTGTATTGACCATCTCAGTTCATTACCCTAAATGAGAAAAGAAATGTGAATGTGTCACCAGAAAAGGAACACAGAGGTAACAGTGGTTCATTTGCAGCTGTAGTCATGCTGTAAAAGCTGAGCAGTAACAGAGCCACAGTGCATCTTACAGTTCTTTCCCTGTGTGTGTATCACATAAAGCATGTGCATCTGCCTATAGAATATTATGCATTTGAGAAAGACATTGTGTAAATATTATGAATGATTAAGGGAATGATAGTGCCTTGGATTGATCTCAGTGATTCTTGAGTTGGGTCAGTAATTGGCTCAATGATTGTCTCACTTGTCCAGGACATCAGTAAACACCATTAAGTTTGAGTGGAAATGTGGTGACAGATGGGTGGATATGTGCATGCACAAGTTTGTAGGTAAAACAAGATGTTTTATTCTTTCACTAGAACACTGTTTACAGTTTATGCAGTTGTAGCACTGATTACCAGGTGTGTTTGCTGTGCTGAATATAGGCAAGTAAATTTGTATTTACGAGTATATTAAAGTTGACAAGGATGCTGTTTATCACCAATTCTGTTCAACTTGTACAGTGAATGCCTTACCAAGGAAGCTCTGGATGGTCTCGGAGACTTCAAATTAGGAGGGCAGATTATTCAAACTGTGAAATATGCAGATGACCTTGTGTTAATGGCTAAGGAAGAAACTGTGCTACAGGGCATGATTGATAGACTGATTGAAATTGGAAGGTGCTGTGGCATGAAAATGAATGTGGAGAAAACAAAAGTAATGAAAATTTGAAGGCAACCAACCCCAGTCACAATAAAGATAGACCAAAAACAACTGGAGAATGTGAAATGTTTTAAATATTTGGGTAGCTTGTTAACAGATGATGGAAGGTGTACTAGTGAAATTAAATCCAGGATTGCCATGGCAAAAGCTGCATTTAGCAAGAAGAAGAATCTTTTTACCAGCAAATTNTACACGAAATAAGAAAACGGAAGGCTAATTGGAGTGGTCATATCTTACGCGGTAACTGCCTTCTAAAAGAAGTTATTGAAGGGAAGATAGAGGGGCGATAGAAGTGACAAGAAGACGAGGAAGAAGATGTAAGAAGATGCTGGATGACCTTGGGGACAGAAGAGGATACTGTCATTTGAAGGAGAAAGCTCTAGATCGCATTAAGTGGAGGAATTGTTTTGGAAGAGATTGTGGACCTGTCGTCTGACAGATTACTGATGATGATGAAGATTAAAGTTGCTGTACAGATCACCCTTTTAATTTGTTTTGGATTGAAGCTGAACCTATCTCTGTAACATACCATGGAGACCCATAGGGTTCTGAGGCGTTGAGGCTCCCACATTTTCTAGACAGATGGTGGTGAGGTTAATCGGCTAAATGTGATTCCACTTCATGATTTATTTATAATCTTAAATAACCTCTGTTAGCTGAGAAGTTACAAAGACTAAATGGAAAATGAATGATTGATCCTGACTGAGGAATGAATCAGAATGAATACTGCCAGAGAGTGATTGTGGAGTGATTACCAAAGAATGACCGACACCAAATGAGGAACAAACCAGAATGGCTGAACAAAAACTGTCAAGAATGATTGATCTGCCAAGAACGACTGATCTGACTGAGGAATTGACCAGAATCACTGACTGCAAAACTGACCAGGAAAGAATGAATCGTGTCTCCAAGGTACAGATTATTTTGTAAGTTTAACTCGTTGACTGGCCAGAGCTTGAATTGAATTTAGAACATCTAGTTGGCTGATGGCATGAGCACAATTCTGCTCCAGTGACTTGATATCCAGATGGAAGGAATAATTTAAATTTCATTGGCTGGTTGAAAGTGAATCGTGGAGTGGATGTTCAGCATACTTTCAGCATGTGGAAACAGCAGGAGCTGGAGTGATGTGCTACTTGAGCACCCTTCTTAATGAATTGTGGTCTATTACTGCTGTCAGATGGACAGAGTTGCATTCTCACATACCAGAAGTGAAGATTGCTTCCCGTGAAAGCTATGAATGGGTTCCTGTCTCTTTGACCCTATAGCTAATACTCACCTTCAGTTTATTTAAAGAGGACTGCTTTGAATCACTATGTAGGCAGTCACATATCTCTGTGAGTTAGTGACCAGGATTCTATTCATCTTAGGACTGAACTAGGACTGCTGT